AAAAAAAAAAAAAAAAAGTACACACTTCCAATTATAAAATAAATAAGTAACCGGGATGTAATGTATAAAAAAAAAAAAAAAACTGACTGAATATATATCTCAGTGTATGGAAAATGTTAAAAATCACAAATATTAAAGATAATGATATGCATGCTGAAGTGTTTAGGGTTGAATTGCACTGATGCCTACTACTTACTTTGAAATAAAAAAAGACAGATTGATGAATGATTATGTATGTGATAAAGCAAATACAGCAAAATGTTAATGTTAATTTAGTTGGTGGATATATGGGTGTTCACTATGTAATTCTTTTCAAGATTTCTGTAGTTTAAATCCCAGGAACAGACCTTTTCAAATATAATTCCCAGCTGCACTCCTTCAGATATACTCTGTAAACAAATCAGATTTCCCCAGATATCAGGAACAGAGTAACCCCAATTGTTTCAAACATTTATTCCATCTATATCCTCATTACAAAAAAGATTTGAAGCAACTGGTTAGTCTTGTATTACAGTGATAGACTCTAATGGTTGAAAGACACAATAACACTCACTTATCCCTAAGAGTCCCAAATATTTTATATTCATTATCAACTTTTGTTATTCCTTAAACTTTAAGGGATTTTAGGTTGGGAATTTCTAATCCAGCTCAACTCCTTTTTTCTAGATCTAACACATTTATTCATTGGTATTCTCTCCGCAAGTCAGCATTATAATATATCACAGTATAATGTATCCAAATGATAAGGGAAGAAAGGCGGAAATGTCGCAGAATTATGTCATCTCCCAACCTACTATATGCCACAAGGAAAAAGCTGATGTTTTTGAAAAAGAAAAATAGGGAAAACCTTGTAAAAAGAAGTGCATACCTCCTGGTCTGCCTGATAAAGCTTGACAGTGATGTTCCTCTGGAAACCCACATCGTTGGCATCGTGAAACACTCCGAGGCTGGTAATAACAATTGGGTAGAGAACTCGGAAGCTCACACTGACAACTCGGTCCTCTAATGAAGTGTCTTCAGAAAGACCGAATGCCTCAATTTCCTGATTCAAAACTGAGGAAGTAATGAGAAAAGGAGTTTTACATAATCAAACAAATATAATCTTTTATTTTATTAATATGAAGTCAAGAAGTAGACTTGATAACAAACTCTTGATAATTATGTTATATAATTCCTTCACAAATGACAACAAAAAAGAAAAAGCTTCAGAAATGATTGCTTCTAAAAAAATTATTTTGAAGTTTACGAACAAAGTTTTGAGCCACATCTAAGTATTTAATTATCAGAACTTCTTTAATAAGTTTTTGGATACACATGTGTGCATATGGATGTCTAAATGCCACAGGGGAATATTAAATCCAAAAGCATCTTTTAGGAAAGGTTGGATAAATAGGGATATTATCAATAGCATTGACTACAGTTATAAATAATGAGTATATTTAGTTTGCTCTTCAAGTCCCAAAATTCCTACTTCTTGTTACAAAAGTAACTGAAATCACTTCAAGTAATACTAAAACCCTCTTTGCTAATCAATAGTGATAAAAGATAAATACATCAAACACAATAAGGATTTCTGACTATTTATTGCCATGCCTCATCACATTTTGCACCTTCACAACTACACTGTGTGGTTTGGCATTATCGCCAGTTAGATTAAGACACTAAAGCTCAGAGATTTAAGTAATTTGCCCATGGTCACAGAGTGACCTTGCGGCAGCCAGAAATCAAGCTCAGGTTTAGTGACTTCAAACTCAGTGCTCTTTCCACTCCCCCATACTGTCTAATCAAGGCTCCAAACCACCTGTCTCATGTAATTTTTTCATTTACCATAAATGAATCATAAATGATAGCTTACATGAAGCAGTTAATATAACTGAGAATATCAGTGCCACTTTGAGATAACTAAAAACTTGTATTAAGAGATTACATAAAAATTCTTTGTATCTTTTTGAGCTGTGGTTTTCCAACCTTTCTGACCACCTAATCCCATCACTTAAAAATTTGTATACACACTCATACATATATAAAATATACACCTATATATATATTATCATCCCTCAATATATTCACTATTAATAAAGATTATATTTTCTTATTTTCAGATAAATAGAAATTCTGTTTTCTTCCCACACCCCAGCAGATAATTGGATACCTACTTTAGAGTTCTAGAGTGCTATTTTACACTTAGTAGGTGCTCAATAAAATGTGACTAAGCAGAATTGATGGCTCGTACACAATTACATACATGAGCAGGAAGGGAAAAAAAGGAGGATACAGATTTTGTCATGGGCTGGGCAAGAGCGTCTAGACTCCAGATGTACTGGGCAACAAAAATTTTTCTCTTTAACATACACCATAGATAAATGATACCTAAAGTAGAAGCATGTCTGTTAAAGGCAACAGATTAATCACAATGTAACATAACTATATATATTTTCTATTTAAAACAAATACACCTTGAACTTCAAGCTACCCGGACACAGGAAATCCTGCTGTTTTGACAATGCTATTAATCAAAAACTTCACACCCAAAGTGTTCTGATGATCTTAAGTTATTGAAACAAATCTAGATGCCATTTGAATGATCAAAAAGATAAAATCAGGTTCAATATTAATTTAGTTATAACTACTTTAAAAAAGATTTGCAACCTAGGTATTACAAATATGAAAAATCTCTATTAATGGGGGAAAGCTCTACTTCTTTACTACTAATGAATAATAGCACTTAAAATAATAAAAGTCTAGTTAATTTAAAGTCAGGTTTTTAAAATTTTGATGTGGTTTTAATTTCAAACAATTTGTTCTAGGCCACTCTTGGATTATCAGTAATACATTTTGTTAGGTTCTTGGTCCCTTTGGGACTTTAGTAAAAGCTGAAGGACCTTCTCAGAAAAACACAACTATACACACAGTTTTGCTTACAGTGTTAACTAAATTCTCAGACATCCTAAGGATGAAAACTGCTGTACATATAGACCTGAAAACACGGTCCAATTTATTTAAAAATGTGACTGAAACCCAACTTTTTATAAAAGACAGGTTCTTTAAATAACAATATTAAGAACCAGATGTCCCAGGAACTATTCTAAGTATTTTATATGTATCAACTTATTTCACCCTGTCAATCCTATAAGTACCTTTGTCTCCAGTTTAGAAATTATGAAACCAAAGCACAGAGATATAACTGTTCACAGGTCATACAGCTAGAAAATGTCAGGGCCTAGATTTAAAGCCATGGAGCCTGACTCCAGAGACTGTGCTCCAACTTGCCTACAAAAGCAAGATGTATGTAATTTATAGGTTTGACAAGTCTTAAATCACCAGAAGTCATGATCAAAATACTTAAGACTTGGAAAAGTTTACTCTCCCTTAGATCCACAGCTGAACATAAAGAAAATGCTAATGAACAAAGTTGGAAGGCTACGGTTATCCACATCCTAAAACTGGTTAATTGCTAACAGAGATAACCTAATTAATATCACATTTTCATCCCCATCAGAACTTCCACAAAGTTTTAATTTTAAAGAGTAAAAATTATTACTTATATATTTAAAATGTTCTACTATTTGTTTCTTTTGCAGAAGCTTAGGCGATGACTCTAAGAAAAAGTTGATTCACAATATTTGTATCAAGGTTATTATAAATCAACAAGCCGGTGAAATAAGCAGTTTACCAAAAGTCCAAAATTCAGTAATTCAGTATTTATCTCTGCATAAGGACCTTCCAGATACGTCTGAATCACACTGTAAAATAAACTCTCATGGATCCTGAAATTATATCTATAGAGAACCTTCACAGATACTTGGAGTAATTAATCAATTTGTCAAAAAGTAATGAACAATAACTTTGATGAACACTAGATTTTAGTCTGCAAAAAAACAGAACATCAGACTACTCAGCTTAGCAACTTTCCTTCAAACTCAGAGTGGTATATGGCAGTCATAGGGCTGAAGACAAAGACAGCATACCTGGATTCGTGATGTTGAGTAGTCTGCAGGAATAAAGGTCTTCCCTGTCTTCCACAGGCACTTCACAGCCATGAGCACCTATTATGAACTTCACAAGCACACTGAGAGATGTGTTGGCATTAACACCAGTTATTGCTCTTCACTTTGCACATGCACGTTTCCTCATGTCCCTTTCAGAGCTTTTACTTTGAGGCACAAGTATTTATTAGGATTAATTCCAACTTTATTCTGCTAGTCTGGCAAAGAGTTGGGAACAAGCAACCTAAAAGTTCCTAACTACCCAGTGACTTATGTGTAAGCCTATACTATAATACAGTACTATATTAGAGTATGAATATGTTTGGCCTAGCTACCAGCAAATGCTCATGCCATTTAAATGCAAAGTACAGTAAAGTCAACTTTTCAAGTCCCTACCTAAAAACTATATCTGCAGTCTTGTTTTCTTCAATTTCAGAACATATCCCTTTTGCTCAAGATTAGTCTTTCTATCCAAGAGGAGATCCTCTCCTCTCCTAGACCTTGCTTCACTAGTTACCTGTAACTTGTGGCTCCTGCCTTATACATTATAAAATATGAAGTCCTGATATTAATTTCTATTTACTACCATACTTCCTTATCCCCATCCTTTCCTTTACAGTGAAGTCCTACAAAGAATTACCTAAAATTGCAACCTAGTTTCTTATGGAATGAGAAACTTTATAAAACAAGACATTTCAGCTTCAATGCCTACTACTTCCACTCAGATGTCTACCAACCAGTGTAACCACTGATTTCCTGCTAAGTCAGCTGACACTCTTCAACCCTTACCTACTTGACTTCTCCATAGAAACAGTACTGGTCTCCTTAAAATGCTTTCCTCCCTTCTTAATGTGGCTCTGCTCAGTGGGCTCCACTGACTATTCTGCCCCCAGATCTGCCCTTGGGTCTCTTCTCACTCTGCTCACTCTGTTCCCTTGCTCTTCCTGGACAATATTTATTTCCAGGGCTTCCACTAGCCTGGAACTGACTCTTGCATTAGCAATCTCTAGTTTGGACTCATCTTCTAAGTAAAAGATCCATAAATTCATTGGACATCTTCACCTGGGTGGCCCACAGACAGCTGTGTGCTTGTACCTGCTCCTACTGGCTTGTGACAGCCAACCTCTAGTTTTTCAGGAACTCTGTGAACTGGTAATTAAACACAGCCTTTATTTAAAAATTATATACAGTTACAATTAAATACACCACATTAAAAACAACAGAAATACTCAAATTAATAATTTCTTAATTATTTAATTACTATCTATATGAAGTTACTTATATCTATTCTATCTGTGTAGTGGATATACACTAATAGTTACTACTACTACGTATCTTCCCCAACTCTGTGTTCAGAGATGTCACATTAGTTGCTTGAAACTGGCCATTATGGGAATATTTACACCACAAAAACTGGCAAACACTACAAATAAGGGTTTGAACTATTGTATTGTTGATTGTCTAGACTTAAAAAAGTAATGGTGAAAATGTCAGCAATGCAGATGAAACTTAAAACTGTGACAGGCGTGTAGCCATTCAATTGCAAATACAAAAAACTAAGGATACCATCCCACTGTTCAAAAACTATTATCTGATTCAGCAGGAAAGTCACTTTATTGACTAAGAGTAAAACTGTCACATATCTTAGTTGTCAATTTAGTCTTACTCTTTAACTCAAAGGAAATATTATGTAAGAATTATACTCTTTCATCAAGTGTAACCCTAAGTTGGTTACAGATACAAAAGTCTAGTAAACAATTAAAGTACTCACTGAGAATCAATTTGTTATATGGAATTTATAATAAGCTTATTGTATATGTTATCTGTCAAATTATCATCCTTTTTATCAATAAAATTTATAATAAACATATGTACATATCAGCATACTTTTTTTCATAAATTGGTAAACATTTCATCAGCACACCACTGCCTACAAGTACCTCAAACTCAACATATCCACAACTGAGCTTTTTTCCCATGAAACCTGCTCTTCTCTAGTATTTTGTCTTGATTATTACTTCTCCAAATTAGAGAGCTAGCACTCATCCTAGACTACTCTTCCTCTTTCTACATTCAATTCCCTTATTGTAAGGTCACCACCTTAGTTCAGCCCCTCAGCAGTCCTTGCCTTAAAGAGGTCTCACCAATCCACTGAACTCACAACACAACTCTTCTCACAGTGATACGCCCTTCCTCCTCTTTTCATATAATAAATAATCTCTGTCTCTCTGCCCCTTTCCTTCCCTAGCACTTTATCTCAAAGTCACCCACAAACATTCCTCCTCCACAATCCCTGCACTCCAGTTACACAGAATTTTCTGGAGTTTCCCAAACACTCCAGGCTATTTGATATTTATATCATAGCACATATAACATTGCTTTACACTATTAGATCTAATTCCTTCTATTAAACTTTAAGCATATCAGGCTATGCTCTTTGTATTCAACCACACACACTACACTAACTGTATACAGAATATACTTAATAAATACTTATGAAATTGTATTGGTAATTGACAATGTAATGATTTTATTACAAAGGCATTTAATTAAATAAGGTTTTTGGAATAAATGTGGAGTCTGGCTCCTTCAGTGAAATGCAACATTTGAAAATAAGCCATAACCACATAAGTGCAAACACTTTTACTAATGGCCAATTAAGGCAGAATATATTTCATAAACAATTGGCATTTAGAATAAAAGTATAAAAAGAAATGAAAAAACTTTCTAAATAAATTATTGCAGATATTTACCAAATTTGTTGTTTTAAGTCATCTTCAAATACTTTTAGTAGATCCATAAAATTGCCCCAGAAGAAGTTTTGGGCTAACATGTATTTTTATATAGACATCCCATCATTTCTATAAAACAAATCACCAAGCTTACTAAATTTAAGGCTAGAATACTATGACGACAGATAAATTACTGGTGAATGTCTGAATGTTTATTTTACTCATTACATTTAGTTCTGGGTCATTCCCTTGATAACTGTTGAATGCTTTACTCTGTGCCAAGTTATGTTCTAGGTAATGGGAATACAGCAATGAAAAAAGCCAATGCCCCTTTTCTCATGAAACTTATATTCCAGTGGGGAAAGACAATTTATGAATATACAATTGAATATGATAAACATCCTAGTCAGTGATAAGTATTATAAAGGAAAATAAAGTCAAATCAAGAAAGATAGAGACAGAGCAGGGGTGAGGTGTTACTTACAACAGGGCTGCCTGTTAAGCATGGTGACACCCTAAGCAGACACCTGAAGAAAGTGAGGAAGTGAGCCATGGAGATATCCAGTAGAAGAGTGGTATTGTCAGGGGAAACAGCAAGTACAAAGGGCCTGAGGCAAGAGCATTTTAATGTATTAAAGCATAGTAAGGTGGCCAGTGTAGGGAAAGTAGATGTATATAAGGTAAGACTCAGTACTTCACAGTAAGCAGGAAGGGAAGTCAATGGAGGGGAGATAAGCAGAAAATTGATATAATCTGACTAATTTTAAAATGATCACTCTGGCTGCTTTATGGAAAATAAAATATAGGGGATCAAAGGCAGAAGCAGAAAATTCAGGTAAGGAGGCTTCTGCAATAATCCAGGTGAGAAGGAATGGTGGCCTTAGACCAGGATGGTGGTTCTGACAGTAACGGTAAAGGTGGTAAGAAACTGGATTCTGGATATGATTCTGAAGGTAGAACCAAGAAGATATGCTGATGCACTGGGCATGGCATGTGAGAGAAAAAAGAATCAAGATAACACCACATTGTAAATTTTTAAAACTTCCTATTTTCCTGATACCTCAACATCCTCACAAACAGGCCATGAGCCTACTAGTGACCAGGTGCACCAGTGTGATAAAGCTGGTCCCTTCTTGCCTGATGACTGTGAATTCGCAACACTGAAACACAACAGTAAACTCCCCTTGAGCCTTTGGCTTGCATACTTCACCATGACCCTCAGGAAAGGCACTTGCCCCTGGTCCTCACTCTCTCTCAGCTCCCCATAGGCCTGGTTGAGCCCACTCACTGGATGCTCATCTTGTATGGGCCCCCACATGGTGTGCTGTGCCTTCCTCTCTAGGACCTGTGAGCATAATAAATCCTTAACTTCACATGCCTCTCCCAGAGAAATTTCTGTGGCCATGTTGTAATGATCCTTACAGACCCACAAGGTGGACTTCCACATTTACAACACAAACACTAAGGTTTTTTATCTCAGCACCTGGTAGTGTCATTATATTCTGAGATGGGAAAGACTATATAGGAAGTGCAGGTTTCAGAGGTGGTGCTGATGATAGCAACGATTCTGAAGCCTTTCATTTGCTGGGTAATAGGTTCTATTATCAATTTGATCATGAACTAAAGAAACCTGTCTTGAAAATAAATGAAAGCTGATATGAATAAGATAGAAAATCTATAATGTTCACTATTGGTGACAAGAAAATCTCAACTGCAATTTGCCTGTAAAGCTACTCAGTCACAAACATGCCAGTTTAATGCAAGCCTGAGAGAACCTTCTCAGCTTACCACATCACCTAAGTGTCTTTACTTAACTATAAGTCCAACTGTCCATGCTTCTCTTCACTAGACCCTCACTACGTAATCTTCAGAGGGTGGTCTCACTGAGAAGAAGACTAAGTCCTTGGGCTCCTAACCAATAACTGAGCCATCTAATCATGGCATGTTATATACACTGCAGATCATACAACTAAAAAACACTACAGAACTGAAAAAATTGTGTCTCTGTGAAGTAAGTGAAAAGCATATTTAGACACAAACGTAGAAAATTGTGTCTCTGTGAAGTCAGTGAAAAGCATATTTAGACACAAACATGTCTAAGCAGAAAACTATTTTGGAATAGAATCTTTTAAGAATAACTATTCTAAATCAAAGCAAAAAAATAAAACAGACTAACCAGTGAATATATTCTCCCCCAGCTATCTTTTGGCCTAAAACCTTGGTTAAATTCACTTTTGGGGCTCAACTATACAGAGGGAAAGCAAAATGAAAGCCATTTCTCCCTGGAAAAGAAGCCACATGTCTGAATTAACCTCTCTGGCTATCCAAGAAGAGGCTTTTCAGAACACTTTGTAAATTGGGCAAAGTCCAACTCAGAAAACCTACCGTTGACTTAGTGCTGGATGTTGTATTAAATGCTTCAGCCAGGTGCTTCTTATCACATTTCGAAGTTCATGGTTATTGCGAGCTGACAACACACCGACTACCACATCATAGTGACTAGACTTCCGAGGGAATAAGGCCAACTGATCTAGAAATAAGCAATAAATTAGAAATGTCATATTTGAATTACTAAGTTCAATATGTAATGTAAAAATGTTTATTATTAAATGAACAAATATATATTCATGTTTAATAGAAAATACACAGAAAAAAAATTTTAAGCACCTATAAACCCACCATGCAGTTAACCATTACTAGCAGTTTGATGTAGAGTCTTTTTGTCTTCCACACATTTACATGCATTCATGTTCTCAAAAGTATGTAAATTCTTCAAAACAAACACGATGTTTAAAATAAGAATCAGTTTGGAAAGGCAATGTGGCACAAACCACAGAATAGGCAGCAAGAGTCAATTAGGCCATGGTCAGAATCCAGGCTCTTTTATATTTATTATAAAACTTAATTCTTGAGCTTCAGTTTTCTTAATTAACTAGGAATGGGTATAATAGTGCTTCTCACAGAGTTGTTGTAAAAATTAAATGAGATAATGTGTATAAAGGTCCTGGTTTGGTTCCATGCAAATAGTTAGGCCTTCACTGGCAACTAACAACAACAAAAAGTGCTTTCAAGGGTGAAGTCCTACATTAGCACAAGCTTGGGAGATGAACCTGAAGGACTAATATGCTGGAAACTATCAAAATCCTTATTAACACCAATGAATTCTATAGCCACCAAACGTACCACTAAATACTCGAAAGAATGAAAGAGGGGAAACAACATTTCTAGTAAGAAAGTCAAGTAAGTCACATGAATGGCTCATTTTTTACTGTTACAATATCTAATGGACAGGAAGACATTTAAAAAAGGTGTCCTTAGAAAAAAGACAGAAGGGAAAGATACTTTGTCCCTGCTTTTTTTATTACCCATTTCAGAGCTGGAGAGCTACAAGCTTATTTATAGCTCTGATGAGGGATCCATTTCATTGCTTTATCCAGTGGTGGGAACTGGTCCAAAATGTTTCCAAAAGTAAATTATGAAGGCCAGAGATCTTTACTACATTAAATGCAATGTTTTTATATGCCACAGGATCTAGATATTCAGTGAAAAGACAATAAAAATATGTTGACATTTTTTTAAAGGACCTATTAAAGTAATAAAGAGAAAATCTGGGTACAGATTCTTCTAACAGGATAATTTAAGGATATTACATTGTAACAATTATGGGAATACAGGAAGTTTTGTGTAGATACCTTATCTTCCACAATAGTTTATGCTTCTAAAATGGTATTTCAATTATAAACAGAAGAGATACTTGTTATTTAGTACCATCAATCTTATACTAAAATGCATTCTTAAAGACAGAACTTATCTTTAAGTAAATCCAAATTTTCATGGATTAAGCTTATTTATTAATAGGCCATTGAACACCTATTATGTATTAAGTACTGTGTAAAGAGTATCACTTTACTACTTTGCATGTACAGTATCATTTAATGCTCACAACCCTATGCGGTAAGTAGTATTAGGCTCCTTATCAAACAAAAGAGTTAACAGGCACAGAGAATTCAGTAACTTGCCCTAAGGCAAAAAGCTAGTAAGTGGATAGCTGACTTAATCCCAGGCACTGTTAACTTCATTCTTCATCTGTTTTATGCTGTAGCTGTATAACTTAACATAGCTCATCTGAGTCTAAATTCTGAACTTTAATCCATAACACCAGTTCAAGTGGTGAATTAGTGATAAGGGATCACTGGAAATGCTGGTTAGCACCTCAAGTTTTTAGATGTATGGCCCAGGAACATTTTTCCTCAGGTATATGTAACTACACAGTGAAAGCGGTACCTACTGCTGAAACTAACTCTAAATGAGTCTGATTTCAGAGAATAATTTAAAAGCTATGTAAAATTGGTAATGATATCATTTCTCCCCCTACAATTCCACAGAGAAATATTAATAGCAAGTACACTTAAGTGACAAGAGTGAGGCACATGTAGTAACCAGATATACTGGATATTGATTTCATAGCCAACATACTGCATGATATCAGCAAGAACTTACTTAAACCCCTTGTGCCTCAGTTTCCTACTCAGAGAAAACTGACACCAAAAAAAGTCTTATACTCTTATTTTATCTGTTTCAAAAATGTCTTCTCAAAAAAGTACAGAAGAGCAAAAATTATTTAATTTGAATGTACCATTTTTCTGACATTATCAGGAAACAAGGTTGCTGCACAAAAGCAAAATTTCAAAATAATTTAAACATCCCTTTGAATGCCAAACATCACGATTTTATTTTTGATGGATAATCAAAATAAATATTCTAGGAATGGATTGCATGGAACATAATTTAACCATTTCTTGATGACAAAATCTTCATGAAAAATTTCTCAAATCTATCCCTTTCTCATTAATTTTGGCTGCTGCTTCACCTCAGGCTTATCTTGCACATGGACCATTACAAGGGTATCCTAATGGTTTCTTCCTGACTTCGTTGTACTGCCAAACAAGATTTTTCTAAAAATAAATAAACATGAAGATAAGCATGTGGCATATAAAAATCTCATGGATTATGGCTGTAAACTACTTTTTGATCTTATACCACCCCTCTCTGCCCCCATCGATTCTACGTGCTTCTAATCCAGGTCTAAGCTGCTTCTGTTGAACTGTTACTTTACATGCATTTCTTTATTTTTATTTTATTTTGGTATTATTAATCTACAATTACGTAAGTAACATTATGGTTACTAGACTCGGCCCATCATCAAGTACCCACCACATAACCCATTACAGTCATTGTCCATCACCTTAGTAAGATTCTGTAGAATCACTACTTCTCTGTGTTGCACAGCCCTCCACATGCCCCCCACCCACTACAGCTAATCATAATGCCCCGTTTCCCCCTTTGTTCATCCCTTCCCACCCATCCACCCTAGTCCCTTTCCCTTTGGTAAATGTTAGTCCATTCTTGGGTTCTGTCAGTCTGCTGCTGTTTTGTTCCTTCAGTTTTTTCTTTGTTCTTATACTCCACAGAATGAGTGAAATCATTTGATACTTGTCTTTTTTTGCCTGGCTTATTTCACTGAGCATATGCCCTCTAGCTCCATCCATGTTGTTGCAAATGGTAGGATTTGTTTTCTTCCTGTGGCTGAATAATATTCCATTCTGTATATGTACCACTTCTTCTTTATCCATCCATCTACTGATGGACATTTAGGTTGCTTCCATATCTTGGCTATTGTATACAGTGGTATGATAAACATGGGGGAGCATATGTCTTTTTCAAACTGGGCTGCTGCATTCTTAGGCTGAATTCCTAGAAGTGGAATTCCTGGGTCAAATGGTATTTCTATTTTGAGTTCTTTGAGGAACCTCCATACTGCTTTCCACAATGGTTGAACTAATTTACATTCCCACCAGCAGTGTAGGAGGGTTCCCCTTTCTCCACATCCTCGCCAACATTTGTTGTTGTTTGTCTTTTCGATGGTGGCCACCCTTACTGGTGTGCCTGTTGGCCATCTAAATTTCTTCTTTGGAGAACAGTGTCTGTTCAGATCCTCTGCCCATTTTTTAATTGGATTATTTGCTTTTTGTTTGTTGAGGAACGTGAGCTCTTTATATATTTTGGATGTTAACCCCTTATTGGATATGTCATTTATGAATATATTCTCCCATATTGTAGGATGTCTTTTGTTCTATTGATGATCTTCTTTGCTGTGCAGAAGCTTTTCAGCTTGACATAGTCCCACTTGTTCATTTTTGCTTTTGTTTCCCTTGCCCGGGGAGATATGCTCATGAAGAAGTTGCTCATGTTTATGTCCAAGAGATTTTTGCCTATATGTTTTTCTAAGAGTTTTATGTTTTCATGACTTATGTTCAGGTCTTTGATCCATTCTGAATTTACTTTTGTGCATGGGGTTAGACAATGATCCACTTTCATTCTCTTCATGCAGCTGTCCAGTTTTGCCAACAAAAGCTGTTGAAGAGGCTGTCATTTCCCCATTGTATATCCATGGTTCCTTTATCGTATAATAATTGACCATATATGTTTGGGTTAATATCTGTATTCTCTATTCTGTCCACTGGTCGGTGGGTCTGTTCTTGGGCCAGTACCTAATTGTCTTGATTACTGTGGCTTTGTAGTAGAGCTTGAGTTGGGAAGCGAGACCCCCCTGCTTTATTCTTCCTTCTCAGGATTGCTTTGGCTATTCAGGATCTTTTGTGGTTCCATATGAATTTTAGAACTATTTGTTCCAGTTCATTGAAGCATAGTGTTGGTACTTTGATAGGGACTGCATTGAATCTGTAGATTGCTTTAGGCAAGATGGACATTTTGACAATATTAATTCTTTCTACCCAAGAGTATGGGATGAATTTCCATTTGTTAGTGTCCTCTTTAATTTTTCTTGGGAGTGTCTTGTAGTTTTCAGGGTATAGGTCTTTCACTTCCTTGGTTAGGTTTCTTCCTAGGTATTCTATTCTTTTTGATATAATTGTGAATGGAAATGTTTTCCTGATCTCTCTTTCTGCTAGCTCATTGTCAGTGTGTAGGAATGCAACAGATTTCTGTATATTCATTTTGTATCCAGGAGCTTTGCTGAATTCAGATATTAGTTCTAGTAGTTTTGGAGTGCAGTCTTTAGGGTTTTGTATGTACAATATCATGTCATCTGCAAATAGTGACAGTTGACTACTTCTTCACCAATCAGGATGCCATGTATTTCTTTGTTTTGTCTGATGGCCATGCTTAGGACCTCAAGTACTATGTTGCATAACAGTGGGGAGAGTGGGCATCCCAGTCTTGCTCCTGATCTTAGGTGAAAAGCTTTCAGCTTCTCGCTGTTCATTATGATGTTGGCTGTGGGTTTGTCATATATGGTCTTGATTATGTTGAGGTACTTACCCTCTATACCCATTTTCTTAATAGTTTTTATCATGAATGGATGTTGAATTTTGTTGAATGCTTTTTCTGCATCTATGGAGATGATCATGTGGTTTTTGTCCTTTTTGTTGATGTGGTGGATGATGCTGATGGATTTTTGAATGTTGTACCTTCCTTGCATCCCTGGGATGAATCCCACTTGATCATAGT